TTCGTGGTTGAAAATCCCTCGATAAAATGTATTGCACACGTTGATAATGTGATACGATGATAAAATTCTTCAAGAATCCTTTCTTCATCTCGTACACGAAGACGCACTGCTGGACCGGTTATCCCGATATTATGCACGACACTCAGTTTCACATAATTATTGCACAACACGTAAAATTGTACGGCTACTTGGTTTTCGTGCACGCCCGAGAAATGATTCCATGTAAATTGCGGCCGCACGATAAGTATTTTCTCCCGTTAGTCCGTATGCCACAATCATATCCGTATATTCCTGCAGAGTACACTTCATTTTCTCTGTTAATTTACTACACAAACACAAGATTTTTATTAAAACGTCTTAGCTCTCGCACGCTGTTACCAGACTGCGTACGCCAGCAGCACGCAACTACAGCTGACAGCTGAGCGGACTGTGAGTGTAATCATAGTGCGCAGGCGTCGAACTCACACGTACGCTTACACTCGCATGTCCGCTCAGCTGTCAGCTGTAGTTGCGTGCTGCTGGCGTACGCAGTCTGGTAACAGCGTGCGAGAGCTAAGACGTTTTAATAAAAATCTTGTGCATAGTAAATTAACAGAGAAAATGAAGTGTACTCTGCAGGAATATACGGATATGATTGTGGCATACGTACTAACGGGAGAAAATACTTATCGTGCGGCCGCAATTTACATGGAATCATTTCTCGGGCGTGCACGAAAACCAGGTGGCCGTACAATTTTACGTGTTGTGCAATAATTATGTGAAACTGAGTGTCGTGCATAATATCGGGATAACCGGTCCAGCAGTGCGTCTTCGTGTACGAGATGAAGAAAGGATTCTTGAAAAATTTTATCATCGTATCACATTATCAACGTGTGCAATACATTTTATCGAGGGATTTTCAACCACGAATCAATTTTTGTAAAGGTACTGTCCATTAATTTTTTACATTTACGATATATTCAGCGTATAGTAAATGGCATTTTGAATAATTTTTAAATTGAGAGTGTAATAGGCCTATAAGGGAAACCACTATAAAAAAAGCGCACCATGCTATCTACTGTAAGGTGGTGTGGAAATGATAACGCATCATTTTCTCGCCATGAAAAGGGGGGACGGGTCATTTTTCGGCGCGGTATTGCGATATATCGCAAACCACCATCATGTCTCGGAGAGCGACCCGCTCACCGCTTTGCCGCGCTCGTAGTATCGGATTACGGTGGGACGACTCTCGTCGCCGCGCGCTTTTACTCACGCAGATTGGCCGATCTTTTTTATTTAATATTTCGTTTAATATTTCGCGTTAATTATTGCGACAATCCCAAAGCAATACAGGTCATTCCTTTTTAATTCGAGCGAATCTTATTAAAACTTATTTATTTCATTAAGGTCGAAAATCGACGGACACCCTGTATATAAAAGATTTTATACAAATATGCAAAGTTTACCTATTTCTTTCTTCTATTTTCGTTAAACAGTAATCGGGCTTGAGGAGCTAATATTATGCAATAATGTTAAAGTCAGTAAATAAGAATAGATTTAATAACGTTGAAATACATTTAAATTAAGTAACTATTAATGACTGTACGCATTATGTGATGAAATGTATAAGTAACTATTAATGAATATGCGCATTATATGATGAAATGTAAACGTACGTTTCTGTCATCAACTGGACTCTCTTCAGTACAAATAAATAAATTTTAGGAAAATTAAAACTTAAAAATTACAAGGATTACGCTTATCGCATGAATGGTATCCAAGTGAACCGTATATTCGGCTGTGTAATTAACTGTGTAATTTCTTAGCAGTACTAGGTGACCACGTGGTGGATGTTTCCAGAACGTTTCTCCTCCTCTCATGTTCCCCGTACAGTGTCTTGGCAAAGACATGCAGAAAGAAACAAGCAAAGAGGCCGATGATTCTTCTAAATTCAGATTAGATCCATAAATCTATTAGTTATCAAACTATAACTCAAAAATTAAAAATTCTTGGTCAACATTCACCTCATAAAATCGACCGAATAAACTGACACAATAAAGCCATAGTACAGGATAATACATCCGTCTCGAAGAAAGACATTAAATAGACTATTAACGTCAAAGTTCAGAGATAAACAAAGCGTTCAAAATCAAAATAAAATCATGACGTTAAGTATAATAAAAATCTTTGAATCGGAAACAAAGAAAGTACATTGATTTATGATTAAAATTTTTTGAAAGTTTCAATGATCGGTAAATAGGAATCATGTAATAATTCGGTGTCTTCTTGTAAATTAAGCCCCGCAGTCTGTCTCTTTATGAATAACATTTCAGAAGTTAATCTTCTAAAATAGCATGGCTCATTGTCAAGAATCTGAACGCCCTCCCAATCGAAATCATGTTTATATTGGAGTCTATGTTCAGTGATAACAGAATTTTTTTGAGTGCAACTATTTATCTGGTTGCGATGCTCTGCAATTCTAATTTTTACCAATCTTTTAGTTTGGCCGACGTACGAGGCCTCACAATCCTTGCAATTAATGCGGTAGACCACATTATTCTTAGAGAATTTGGGGAGAGGATCTTTTAGAGTTCTGATATATGGTTTTAAAGTATTCCAGTCAGTATAAGCGGGTCGAAAACCGGCTTTATTCGTAAGCGAATTAAACTTTTCGGATACTGATTTTATATAAGGTAGCAAGAAAAAAGATCGAGGGTCTGCAGTCTTGTTTATTTTAGAATCTAATAAATTATTCCGGTTGAGTAAATATTTAAAACGGGAATTAATTATGTCAAATATAAAATTAAACGGATAACCATTGTCAATGAGAATTTCTATGATAAGGGTAAAATTTTTTTGATGAAAAGTAGGATCCGATAAAAGAAAAATCCTGTCTGTAAGTCCAATTATTGTGCCCTTTTTTTGACATATCGGATGGTGTGAGAAGTAATTTAAGTAACGTCCAGAAAATGTAGGTTTATGATACCAGTCAAAATAACATGGCCATCCTGCACGATGATAGTTACGTCTAGAAAATTCAATCTGTTATTGTCACCTATTTCCATCGTAAATTGTAATCTGGGATGGAAAGAGTTGAAAACATCTAACACTGATTCAAGGCCATCGCATAAAATCATTAATGCTATATCGTCTACATATCTGATATACATCGGGATCGTGAACGGCAAACTAGACAATGCCTTACATTTTAAATCCTGCAGTACAATGTCTGCTATGATAGGTGACAAAGGAGAACCCATCGGTGTGCCAAATGTCTGTTTGTAAATTATATTGTTGAAAGTGAGAGTGAATAAGTGGAGTTTAAGATTAAATTCACAGCCACAATGAACTCCTCTAACGGGATGCTTGTATTTCCTGAAATGAACTCCCATCTTTTTTTAATTCCTTCTATAACCAAATTATGCGGAATGTTAGTGAAAAGAGAGACCACGTCAAATGAAACTAAACGAAAATTATTCTCAACTGTAATTTTTTGTAATCTTTGGATTAAATGGAAGCTATTTATGACTTGGCTTATTGGAGGCGGAATGATATCATGATTTTATGAATGATATCATGTATGAAAGCCGCTAATGAATAAACAGGATTGATAGAAGACATGATTATCCAAAGGAGGTGATTCTCTTTGTGTACCTTCGGTAGTCCATATGCTCTAGGAAGGACAGCAACAAAAGAATTCAAATGTCTATACTTTACTGTCGTGATGTAATCAAGTCTCTTCCATCTCATGAGTAATGTGTGTAGATCCGAAGTTAATCTATTAATAGGATTTCGTGGTACTGTCATATATGTATTGGTGTCATTAAGTAAATTTTCCATATTGTTGATGTACGTGAGTCTGTCCATAGAAACTGTAAGGGTAACAACCCTTATCGGCACGAGTAAATAAGATGTCCGGGTTCTTTTTTATAAAATCTTTTGTTACTAAGATTACGCTCTTAATGTTCTTATCTATCTCAGTAGGTGAAAAACTACTATTACCTAAATTTTTTATGATGGGTATGGAACGGTTTCTGATGTCCATTACTAATTCCGGTTCTCTTTTTTGAATCTTGCAAAAATTGTTCTCAATATGTTTGATGAATTCGGATGTCAACCTATCATTATATGCAAAGGGCGGTAAACAAAACCCATCATCTAATTGCAATAGTCCTCGAACTTCAATCGGGATATCTTTGGTTGAAAGATTGACAAATTTTTTTCGAAGAGTTAAAGGTGATGAGGGAGGATCTGCAAAAGAAGAAGGACAGACTCTTACCTCCCCATCATAACCTCCATTGGTAGTCGATACCTTATCTGACAATTGTTGTTCTGACTAATTTTTCAGATGTGAGACCACAATAATCGACTGTATATTGTCTTCACTGTTGTTAAAACCATTGTCACGTTTTTTTATGCGAGTAAGAATAATTGATGGGCATCACTCTCTTACACCGTTCATGTTTGTCAATGAGCCATTGCCATTTACTATTAACCTTTCTAGATTCTCTCAAAAAATAAAAATGAAGAGAGCGAGTAGCACCTATGTAAAAAACATTCCATAAATGTAATGGAAAATATTTGTAAATATTCCATGATAATTCATATAGCCCATTTTTTAAAAACTGTAATTGTCTATACGCGTCGTTTATCTCTAATCTCAACAAACGAAGTCCATAATCAAGTTTGGCTTTTTGCATAGCTCTTCTAGATTTGCAATGGAAAAAGTTGGAATCATTCCCAAGTTAATATGTCGACAAGTTAATATGTCGGGGAAATACTTCATTTTTGACGCAATTCTTCAAGAATTTGACCTGTAAATTAATTCTAATAATGGCTCTATTGTATTTATCCCAACTTTTTAACCATTTTACACTTTTGTAACCGAGTAAATATTTAATCGAGTGAAAAAATGATGGAGTGCCGTTTAAATTATTGTTAAAACGCATTTTATTGCCTGCGTAATTTAATAAAAGTAAAAGAGGCTCCTATCTAAATAAATATTAAAATATTATATAATTCTATTTTCATATCTGCTTCCATTTTTTGTGTTTCCTTCTGTTGTCCTGTTTTGCCCAGAATTTGTACTTTTTCATGTTATGTTGTTTCAGAAGGAACTTGAATTGCATCTCTGTAAAAAAGATTTTAATTATTATTTTTTACATTATTTTCTGCATATATTTTTTTATAGTGAATGTAATTATACTTATGCATTTTCTTCCTCCATATTTGAAATAGCTGCATTGCTGCAAAATAATTATATTTTATTATTTACATATTAAATGTTGTATATTCTTATTATAAAAAACAAATTATTTCAAGCAAACATGAATAATCTAATTTTTAAAAATGTTAACTTACTTTTTGTCAAAAATCGACCCAGAAAATTTTGTGGGTATAGCTAAGTGGAGGCGAGCTCTAATTTTGTTCACATTGTACCATTTTTCTTCAAAATGTAAATGGCACAAACGACAGTTTTGACTCGCATATTCTGGACCTTTTGGTCCCAAATCTGATCTTCCGCATGCTCGCGTCCATTGCAACTATCTGTATATATAGAAATAAATATAAGAAAATAAATATAGAGTATAATATAAATAAATATGTATATTATAATTATAGAAATATAAAAAATATACTATATGAAGGAAAATATAAAAAAATATACTATATGAAGAAAAATAGTTTATATAAAATATAATTAATAAATAATAAATAAATAATTAGTAAATAATATATAATAAATAATAAATAAAAAATAATTAAAGTGATATCATACCTATCATACTCCTTTGGAAATTTAAAAAAATGTGTTTTCTCCACATTTTCTTGTAAATTGCAATCGGATACTTCACAATATAATTTTTTTTTGGCACTCATTTTTTTCCTCTTTTATCTACGTCTTTTTTATTCTTCTTATAGTCTTCAATATAATCATATACCTGAAACAGAGCTAAGATCAAACTATTCCTACAGGAGAATTGAAGATCTGTATAATATTTTGTCACGGGCGAATTCCGCGTGAATCGCCGTCGGATAGCCGGAGTCGGGGCTAATTTCATTAGCACATTGTTCAGCGTAGCAGCGCTAAGTTTTTTAACTAAAATTTTTTTATATGTATTAATTTTTAATTTTTATATAAATTTTTATTTTTTATTTATTAATTTCTAATTTTTAATTTTTTTAATAATTTTTAATTTTGTATTTTGTATTATCGTTTTCTTTTTTTTTTAATTAAACTTTTCAGGATATATGCTTATGATTATTGCAATGTATATGATTGTTCATATTTTCAATTCGATTTTTTATAATAGATATACTACAATTCATTTAATATCATGTTTCTTTTAATATTGAAAATAAAAAAGAAATATGTCTATTTTATAGTAAAAATTTTTATTCAGTTGGCGCAACTTTTTAATATTATTTGTAGGAAATTAAAACAATTATTTTGTACAATTTTTTTAACTAAAATATTTTAAGTTTTTATTTTCAATTAGCGTAATTTTTGGATTCATTATTTTTCTAGGAAATAATGTAGAAAATTAAAACAACTATTTTGTATAACTTTTTTTGGTTAAAGTATTTTTATAAGTATTTTTAAAGTATTTTTATTTTCACTTAGCGCAATTTTTTTGATATCATTATTTTTGTAGTGTCATATTTTTTGATATCATTTTTTTTGATATCATTATTTTTGATATACAATACAGTAGTTTTTTACAGTTAATAATACATTATTTTGCAAATACATATACTGTTTTTTACGCGGATTTAGCACCTTTTTTTACCTTTTTTTTAAGAGGGTAATTTTTTTAGGGATATCACTCTTTTTTGTACTATATGTTAAACATCTTTAAATAAATGAGCAAAGCCACCACCCCCGTCATATTTCATTAAAATTCGACGGTCCTCTTTGCTTACTTTACAGGGTGGGGAAAAAGTATGGAAGCAAACAATTATTTCCGAAACTATTCATTTTTCGACAAAATGTCTTAGACATCATTTTTATGGTATGAAAAGATGTATTATGTGGCATAGACGGCATGACCTTGAAATGACCCTTACGAGCTGCATACAAATAACGTAAAAAATTTCAAATGGAACTCGTCAGTTTTTGTTACAGATTCTTGTAGCTGATGTCGAAACGTTTACAAAACACTACATATGAGCCCCATTCCCTTAAAAACATTCCCAGTTACGAAACAATTGTGATAATTCCTACTTTTTATTTCCTACTTTTGGCTTATCCTTTACGAAACCTGTTTCATTAAATCGTTGAATTGTCTTAGCAACGGTAGATCTTACTATGTCCGGTTGTCCGATTCGAAAAGTTTCATTAAACAAAACTAACTTCATCGTGAGTTCTTTCATTCTCACCCCAACCACGCATCATCAACAGCGATATTCGCTCTCGTTCTGTTAATCGGGCCATCGTGAAAATAACATTTGAAATTACAGAAATGAAAATCAGTAACAATTCCTATGATAGAAAACGACAAAAATAGCAAATTTTCAAAACACAATATCCGAAACTTGTATGCCAATTGACACTACTTTTTTAAGGATAAAATAAATGATAATAATAAATAAGGTAGCGATGATCAAAAAATCAAAAAAATTCTATGAATACTCATAGACAGTGTATCATATGACAACAGGTACAATTACATGTTATTAGTGGACGCAACTGAACGTCATGATGCGAAATCAGTAAGCTATGTATAGATATTCAGATTCTTCAAACTTCTTTGCTATTCTTATTGCAAAAATAACGGATAACTACAAATCAATATGTCATTAGAAACCGTACACCCCTTTTCTTTCAAAAACTAAGCATTTTAGAGAAAAACGTTTTCGACAAAAATTGTATGGTTTTGAGGGGAACATAAGATGGTGTCATTGGTTTGACCTTGGATGGCATCGTTAAGATCAGGACAAGGACACCTTTAATTTCTTAAATGAACCACCTATTTTTGTGGTTTCCTGCCAAAACCTCCACGTGTGGCTGGAGCAGCGTCCGCCATTCTGTGATTGAGTAATATATTATTAAAAAAATGCTTTTTCAAATCATATATAATATTTATCCTGAAACATTGGAATTCTTTGAAAGTATTATTGATAATTGTGCCAGATATAGCCTTATCTACTATATTTATCTACTATATTTATCTACTATATTTTTATAAGAAATTCTGTCATGTTTCAAAAGGTCTTATCAAACTCCACATGTTGGAGAGTCACGCTTCATGATCAAAATCAAGAATATGTAATAATCAATTATAATCTCAAGTATTTGATTATAACCCAATTTGTTAGAGATTATAAAATCTGATTTTATAATCGTTACTAACAATATAAACAAAACAGAAATTATATTCTAATGAAATAGAACTTGAAAATACAATTGACATTTTTTGATAGTTACATTATTCTTTATTTTTAATTATAAAGTGTGAACACGCGATTCATCAACACGTGTTAATGAATTTGACAAGGCATTTTGATAGAATTTCTTATGTGTAAGAATACTCATTTTCTAAACATCTCATATGATTGGCCGAAAAATATGCGAGGATTATTTTGTTATAAAACGTGAAAGGACGAAAAATTTCTCAAACATATATACTTACGTTATTTTTTTCAACCTCTTTCTAACACGTGAATCACGGAAGAAGATTGTGATCGATTGTCCATATGGCTTTTTATGCAAACGTCATGTCCGGTGTTTCAAAAAATAGCGCGTATTTTTTCTTTATTTTGTTAACAGTGAGGACATCTTTCAAAGAATATTACATAGATTTTAAAGATAAATGAACAAACTCGATTGTTAACATAATAAATAAGCATGCAATTTTAATCGTAAGAGATATTTAATATATTATACTATTAATTAAGATAACTATTGCGATACTTATTAGTACAAATATATTAAGATAACTATTGCGATACTTAGGAGTACAAATAAGTCTCCGCCGTTTGACAAAAGATGGCCTCACCAGTAAGTTATGGTTGAAATTGTCAGATGTAAAACGTCATATCGTAAAGTTGGACATCTGGCAACACCATAACCTTGAAATATTAGCGATTTTGTATTAGCATCACATAATTTTTTTCGTGCGAAAATGTCGAGTTTTGAGCCGAATAAGTGTCATTTACGGGAACTTTTGATTTACTTCTTTAATTTGAAGAAATCTGCAGCTGAGGCGCATCAATTGCTTGTAGAAGCATATGGTGAGGCTGCTTTAAGTGAGAGAAGTTGTCGTTTCATAAGAACGGTGAGTTTGACGTCGAAGACAAAGAACGTAGCGGAAGGCCGAAAGTGTACGAAGACGCAGAATTGGAAGCATTATTGGAGGAAGATTCGTGCCAAACGCAAGAAGAACTTGCACTTACATTAGGAGTGACTCAACAAGCAATTTCACATCGTTTAAAATCGTTTGGAATGATTCAAACGCAAGGAAATTGGGTTCCATATGAACTGAAGCCGAAAAACGTTGAACGCCGATTTTGCACATGTGAAATGCTGCTTGCCAGGCATAAACGAAAGGGTTTTTTGCATCGTATAGTCACTGGTGATGAAAAATGGATTCACTACGATAACCCAAAAAAGAGGAAATCATGGGGATCATGTGGCCATGCTTCAACATCGACAGCCAATCCGAATATTCATGAAAAAAGACTCATGTTGTGTATTTGGTGGGATCAGCTTGGTGTTGTGTATTATGAGTTGCTCAAACCGAACGAAATCATTACTGGGGCTCTCTACCGAACACAATTGATGAGATTGAGCCGAGCACTCAAGGAAAAACGCGCCCACTACTACTCCAGACACGACAAAATTATTCTCCTGCATGATAATGTTCGTCCATATGTTGCGGCGCCGGTCAAAACCTACTTGGAAACACTCAATTGGGAAGTACTACCCCACCCGCCATACCAGACATTGCCCCTTCGGATTATCACTTGTTCCGATCGATGGCACATGGCCTGTCTGAGCAGCACTTCACATCATATGAAGATATCAAAAATTGGGTCGATTCGTGGATAGCCTCAAAAGATGAAGAGTTTTTCCGACGCGGTATCCGTATGCCAGAAAGATGGGAAAAAGTAGTGGCTAGCGATGGACAATACTTTGAATAAAACATAAGGTACCGTTCTTTCACAATAAATGCTAAATTTTTGATAAAAAACGGCGGAGACTTATTTGTATTCCTAATAATAAAATTAATATTTAAAATTAATATTAATAAAATGAATAAAATGATTAAAAGAAAAGCGTAGAATTAATGAATCATTTATTTTTAATGTTTAAAATATTATTAAAGAATATTATTTGTAAATTTGTTTATAAAAAAGGGGCATTTTATAATTCATTCAATAGCTTATTTTTATTGCTGAATGATATTTTATAATTGTAACAGTAACATATTATAAAATCAAATTTTTCCTATTTAATTTTTCTGCCTTTTATATAAACTGATATTGTATTATGATTATTGCTGGAACATATAAATCTTTGGAGTTTTTTTCTCAAGTGTATTTTATAAATAATTTATAAATCATTTTCTCTAAACTTATCTAACAAGCTGTTTTTTGTGTTCAAATTTATGATGAGAGTCTCAAATTCTTTGCTTTGCATCAAGTTACCGACTTTGTCTTGAATCGAAAGCACTAAAACACATTCAATATACACATAATTAAATTATAGTACATATTATTACATAAAAGGACATATTTATAGACGATAATTATATTATTTCTAATATGTAATATTTGAACTTTACCTTTAGCAGATAGCACACGTTCATTTTATATACGTTTCTTAAACGTATCTAATGTTTTTTAATCGTAAAGTATTAATTAAAAACGTTTCGAGAAAAACGTTTTTAAAATTATAATTAAGAAAACGTATTTTTCACGTTTCTATAAACAGAATAACAACTGATTTTTAATTAATATCAAATTATATATACATATAAACATACACACATACATATATATACATATATATATATATATATATATATATATATATATATGTATATATATGTATGTGTGTATGTTTATATGTATATATAATTTGATAATAATTAAAAATCAGTTGTTATTCTGTTTATAGAAACGTGAAAAATACGTTTTCTTAATTATAATTTTAAAACCGTTTTTCTCGAAACGTTTTTAATATATATATATATATATATATATATATATATATATACGTATATATATATATATATATATATATATATATATAATTATTACGAAAACTATATATTAAGCCAGTTATTTTAATTTTTAGCATCAAATAAAATTTGAAATTTGCTCGAAGATGACAGATAATTTGCGATTCTACAATCGTAAAAAATTATATGATATGGAGATATTATGTACTTATATTCATCAAATTCCAACAAATTTTAATAGAAAGAGAAGAAGATTAATGGACGTGATATTGGAAAATAACTTTTCTTTATTAATTTATTAAAATTAATTTATTCACACACTATAGCTCCATATATCTGCGAATAAATATGCGATTTAGTGTATCTAATCAAATATAATAAATAGAAAATTTTAAAATTCCATATGTTAAACAGATTATTTGTCCCCCATCTTTCTTTCTTTCTTTTTTTTTAATTTGATATCATCCAATTATGAAATCATTACATCAAAAACATACAATAAAATTTGCAGTTTTTGAAATAAAACAAAAAAAAATGAAATAAAAGAAGATTATAGGAAAGCTCAAAAAATCTTGGAAGAAAATTCTCTAACCACTTTCCACTTCTAAACACTTTTGTAAAAAAAAAAAAAAAAATAGAATTGTTTCAAGTGAAAGATTTATATGTGGAGTGATCATATAATCTACAGAATTACAACACATTTTTTTCTTTTATTGACAATCAATTTTATTTAACTAACCAAAAAAATTTATATGACATGCTGTTTAACATTTATTTACTGAAGTTCACTTATTTTATTATATTTAACATATTTATAGACGAAAACTTTTGAAGAAGTTTTCCAAATAAAATTTCTTAGGCGTGACAGTGAAGTCAAGCGCTTAAACTTTTTATAATATATGCTAAGATCGAACTTTTGAACTATCGAATTACCGCCATTTCCTCCTGATTTGTCTCCTTCTGATTTGTTTCCTCCTGATGAACTTGTATTCTTTCAGCAGGAAATATATACTTATATTCATTAAATTTTGACAAATTTTAAGAGAATTTTCAATAAAAAGAAAAGAAGATTAATGAACGTGATATTGAGAAATAATTTCTCTTTATAATAATTAAGAAATTAATTTATTCGCACGCTACATACTAATATATCAGCGAATAAATATTCGATTTAGTATCTAATGAGATATCATAGAAAATTTTAAAATTTCTAAAAAGCTAAACGGATTATTTGGCACAGTCTCCCATCTTTCTTCCATTCTTGCTTTTTTTAATTGACACATATATTCACACATATATTCGATTATGAAATCATTAGAAATACAAAAAAATTTGAAATTTTTAAGATAAAACAAAGAAAAAATAGAAGAAGATGATTTATAGGAAAGTTCTGAAAATCTAGGAAGAAAATTTTCTGAGCACTTTTGCAAAAAAATAGAATTTTTTCAAGCGAAAGGTTTGCGTGTGGAGTGATCATGTAATATCTACAGAATTACAATACATTATTTTTTTTGTCGACAATTTTATTTAACTGAAGAAAAGAAATTTATATGACATGCTGTTTAACATTTATTTATTGAAGTTTACTTTTTTTATTATGTCTAACATATTTAGACGAAAACTTTGGAGGAAGTTAGCAAATACCAATCGATTTCAATTCTTCCACCAAAATAGGTATTACTATGCCTAATACATTGCATACACCGAAACGAACCTGTTCTTCTGAAGGGCTGTTGGACTGACTTGATACAGTCGATATCATTGGGATAGCCATCATTATCATGAAAGCAAATGCAAGTTTCATCTGCAAATTTTATAAATAAAAAATTAATAAAAAATAATGAAGAAATACAAGATAATAATACAAAAATTAAAAAATATCAATTATATTATTATTAATTAATTATTATTAATTATACTATAATTAAAAAATATCAATTATATTATTAACCTTCCGAGGTCACACCTACTTTTTCAAACAAGGTGGTCACTCTAGGTCAATGTGACCCGAGACGAACTTTGATCGTTCGCTATTTGACCATTTATCCATCGATCGTCTTGAAAAAATTCTAAAATTCACTTGTGACATTGTTAAATCAATTGCTATAAAAAAACAAGTGCCTTAGGAATTATTAACATATTGAAAAAATTCACAAAAAATTGTTTTAAAAAAAATGAATTTTACGAAAAAATGAACTACAGCTAGAGGGCCTCATGTCCGCCAATTTTCAAATTGCTCGCAAGATATTTACGAGCAAAGTTGAGGTTCGGGTCACATTGACCCAGTGTGACCTCGGAGGGTTAAATCTATAATATTAAATTTAAGTGTTATTAAATTAATGTTTATTCTTGGACATATTTATGATAATAGAATGTTCTTAGGCTCGATAATGAATAAGACGTAAATTTGTAGAATATAAGATATTTGTAGAACATAAGACAGATAACATATTGTTCGTATATTTAATGTTGCTTAAATCGATTAATTTGCGATATTTTTTACTATATATAAGTTCTTTTATAGTGTAAAATAATAATTTGAATAGATATAGTATTAAAATTTAATAAAATAATGAAGTATTAATAAAAGAACATCAAGTACACTGCTTTGTTATATATTTTTACTAAAACTAGAAGTCTATTAAATATTTTAAATTTTGAATAATTAAAGATGAAATAAAGTCTTTTAAAGAGTTTTAAATACTTTATTTATCCTAAAAACAAGAGCTCGAATAATTTCGATAGATAAATAACATAATTTTAAAAGATTTCACTTTTACAATTCATTTTTATTTATTTTTATAAATACACGATTATAAAATAGATTATTATTTCCTTTTTAATATAAGAATAACATTAATAATAACAAAATATTAACGAAAAAATGTTTTGATTTGAAAGATCTTGAAACATAAGAATTTGAGGAATATTATTCAATTTATTTACAATAATGAGATGTAAATAGCTCGCAAATATTTTGGATATGTGTGTAAATTTTAAAACTTTAATAACTCATATAATAATAATTAATAATACATATTTTTGAATTTAAATATTTAAGAAAATAATAATTCATAATTTCATTAAAAATTTTAATTTTTCTTTTTCTTTCTTGTTTTTCTTTCTTAAAAATTATTTTAAATATAATTCTAAAAATTTGATCCATTTTTTTCGTGATTAATTTATCTATTTAACATAATCAGTCTAATTCAATTGTGCACCGAAATAAATCTTCAATTGTTTTTATGTCACTAATATTGACAAAAATATACATTAAAGAATATACATATAAGTATATATATATATATATATATATATATATATATTTATATTTATATTTATATTTATATATATATGTATGTGTGTATGTGTGTGTATAGAGATATACATATAAAGAATAAGATATTTTCATAGATAGTTTATTATTGATTAGATAGATATTGCGATAGAAACAGTTTTTGATTTGGAGTATCTTTGTTCTTATTTTCTATATTCTTTTTAAAGAGTTAAGTTTTAAATTAAAATCACCTAATATACAATTTATAACGCACATAATGAATTTGTTTGCTTGCTTTTAATCCTTCTTTCAGAACAGAATTTGTAATGCAAATTTCAATGGAAATTGTAATGAAAAATTGTACATTAAATTTTGTTACCAATATTCAGTTCTATATTTATAAAACAGTCAAATAATTATATAAAATTGGATATGTTATTAAATTCTTTTGCAACAAACTAATTTTCAACTAATTGCAACTTTTAAAATAGACTATCTGCAAATAATGCTTTTTTATCATAATAATGCATAACATGACTAACATATAATGGAGCCAATATTTATCGATAAAATGGTATAGTTGAAACGTTCTAATGACACACGTTATAAACTTTTTTTTTCTTACTTTCATATATAAAAAAACTTATGTTAAATATGTTAAACTACAAATAATACATAATTAAATAAAATACAAGTAATATTAAACGTAACTATCGAATATCTAAGTTTAAACAACGTAAAAATAAATTAAAATTATAATATAAATATCAAAACAACATAATCGAAATATTTTAGATGCAATCTGAATATTTATTAAAATCGCATCTAAATCTCTATTACATCGTTTTTAATAATTATTTAATTTACGAAGAATCTAAGAACAAAATTTGCATGAAATATGCATTATTATAATCACTGCCTTTACAATGTAAGTCTAAAATTTTACAGTCTGAATCTCTCACATTAACTTTTATATCCTTATGCATATATGCTTATATACTTATATATTTATCAATTAACTTTTATATACTTATATGTTTATATACTTATACATTTATATGTTTATCAATTTACATGAGTAGTTCATATATTTCAGTATTACATAAAATTATGATCAACATTATTTTTAAAATATAAAATTGTAATGTCTCGTTTTCCGCGGTGAATTTGACTGTAATTATAAATAGACAGCTCGTTGGAAATCGGGGTTCGTACAGAATAGAGAGTGAAAAAGAAAAATTACACAATGTCTTAGTTATATGAGTGTTTATTATGTGTATTGAATACAATTGTGTGTGTGTGTGTGTGTGTGTGTGTGTGTGTGTGTGTGTGTGTGTGTGTGTGTGTGTGTGTGTGAGAGCATGTGGGTGTGTATGTGTGTACGCGAGTCTATAGCGTATACGCAGGTAATGATTCTTTGTGTATTTAAATCATCTTTACATAATTCTTAGGTGATTCCGAGCCGCGCGAGTTTCGGCCGCAAGACGTTTGGCCGAGTTTTTGTCGCTGTTTTGACACAGTTTTTGTGGCGCGTGGCTCCGGCGATCAACTGGTGTCGCGGCTTTAATCGATACACGGATATTGAAAGTGTCAGTTATTCGATTTGCTGATGGTTTTTACGGCGCACGGTGAAATTACAACAAATTATATTTTTTTATTTACAACAAATTATATTTTTTTATTATTTTTTTATTACGATAAGATATTGGTCGGAATGATTCCGTGGTTATTATCGGTCGCATTTGCGCGTGAGGATGTGGGTACGCGAGGAATAATTATGCAAGGATTCAGGTAGCGACGAGAACGCTCGTCTTAAATCAAAAGCGCGAAAATATAGTCAATATAGACAATATAGTTTGTAAAGAAGAACATTAAATATGTTTTATATACATATATTTAGTCGGTAATACATTTCTATTATATATAAAAATAATAAATATAATGTTTTCCTAATACCTTTTTAATAGTTTGACAAAATAAAATTAAGTTTTCTTTGTTGATAAGAAGGACTTTTTTGACTAACCGATTCAAAAACAGCTGTGCATGTGGTTTTTCCGAATATTTTTTTTATTCCCTTTCCTTTTCCTTTTGTCTTTAATCTCAAAAATGAGACTCTACAGAAAATGAAAAACATGTTAAATTAATACTAATGTGTGATGAATATTACGCAAGTGTAATGTACCTATATATGTAAATCTTTTTCTTTAGCAATCTTTGCTAGAGCTTGCATTAATTCCATGCTGCAGCTCAATGCAAATTTTTATAATATTATTACGGACCTTGTGTATAACGTAAAATAATATTTTAAATAAATATAGCATTAAAATTTAATAAAATAATAAACATGAATGCAAAAACAGCATCTTTACGTGCACTGTCTTTTTATATATTATTATTAAAATGAGCCTATTAATGTTCGACAAGTTGTAATTTTTTCCCTTTCTTTTTTACTTTCTCTTCAAAATTTTTTTAAATATTCTTTAAATTTTGTTTTTTCCACCGACATAGAGCATAGACTGCGCTATCCGTAATTGCAAGTTTGACTAAACGGTGTATTAAATGTGATCAGAAAATTGAAAAGGATAGAGTGGGAAGACGTCATTTCTCTTTCTTTCTAAGCGTTGAATAGAAGGCGACAGAGATTGGCTGTCCTATCCTTCTTTTTTGACGACTCTTTGACCACTCATTAAAATAAACATAAAACTTGAACCACTTAAAACTTCCAAGTGCGCGATTTTTCGAAAAATATTTACTTAAATAAAAAAAAACGAAAGAATCGTACAGAAAATTAAAAGATCTGTAAAATGATTTACCATCTGATCTCTATTGCCATTTAAAATTTTTTAACATAAACAATGAGCGACGGCTAAAATCTTTTAAATGTTATTCAGGATAGTGATGATAACATATATCAAGATCAAGACGATTCGATGTGATTTCCTGATGTTTTTTTCTAAAGTTTTACCATTCATACATCTGCGAGTAAATATATGATTTAATATGTATCTAATATGTATCTAATAAAATATCATACAAAATTTTAAAAAATTCCAAAAGCTAAACAGATTATTTGGCACAATCTTCCATCTTTCTTTCTTTCTTTCTTTTTTTAATTTAACATCATTCGGTTATGAAATCATTAGAAATACAATAAAATTTTCAGTTTTTAAGATAAAACAAAGAAAAAATAAAGGAAGATTAGATAGGAAAACTCTGAAAATTTAGAAAAATAATTCTCTAAGCCCTTTTAAAAAAAAAATATAAAATTTTTTCAAGCGAATGGTTTGTATATGGAGTGATATAATACCTATAGATATAATACCTATAGAATTATAACACATTATTTTCTTTTGTTGACAATCAGCTTTATTCAACTGACCAAAAGAATTTATATGACATGCTGTTTAACATTTATTTACTAAAGTTCACTTATTTTATTATGTTCAACATATTATACTGATGAAATAACATTATATATTATACTGATGAAATAACATTATATTTTAAATAACATATTATTTTGCGGATCGATAACAATGGCGAATTGAATATTGAAGAATCTTTAACATTATCTCCTGAATCGTCACAGCCCTCACTTGTAACAGTCGATATCATTCCGATAGCTATTATTATCATGAAAGCAAATATAAGTTTCATCTGCGAATGTTATAAATCAAAAATTAATAATAACGAAGAAATAAAAGATAATAAAATACAAAAATTAAAAAAATATGAATTATATTATTAAATCTATAATATTAAAATTAAATGTTATCAAATTCATGTTTATTCTTGAACATATTAATGATAATAGAATGCTCTTAAGAGGTGCCTCGATAATGAAGAAAACTCAAATTGGTAGAATAAAAGAAAGATAACATATTGTTCGTATATTTAATGTTGCTTAAATCGATTAATTTGCGATATTTTTTTACTATATATAAATTCTTTTGTATGTAGCGTAAAATAATATTTATTAATAAATATCTTAATATCGCTAGTCGAACAATCAAAGGATTATTGAAAAAATGTAGTCGACCAAACTAGCCAGAAATTTAGTTTATTATTACGACGTTTCGACCATATGGTTGTGGTCCTTATCAAGTACATACGAAGCCATAAATCAGGAAACCGGCATAAACGATGATCTTATAAATTGCACAAATCACATTAACAAAACGTTATTTTTTAAAAGATTTAAATTAGAGAGAAATTGATGTGTCCGTGAGAGACTTCGTCAAGAGAATAATATTTATTTGTCAGCTATTTTATATGTCAATTATATGGTCAACGAGCGACCTTTTCAAGGATCCTCCATCGACAATCGGCATTGCATCGAGCAAGATACCAACATCGCTCTGGAGTCGCATATCACTGTGTTGAAAAACAGCATTAGGTGCGTGGTCTGGATACTTCAGTGGTCTAGAGCAGTTGCCCGGAAAGCGAAAGACTTGGGTTCGATCCAGCCACTTGCGCTTCACATATTTTTCTAGTCCGCGAATATTGTTTTCTAGCAATTATTCGTTGGGCTAAAAAATGTGTGAATGCTTTCTTCACAGAATATGTGTCGATGCCATTGCCAAGGATGGATTCTGTCGCTCGTTGATCAAATAATATCGACACGTCCGACCTTTTCTCTCATACATCCCTATCTTTTTTGGACGGATAGTTTATTGATTTGATAGATATTGTGATAGAGAGTTTCGGAATATCTTTATTTTCTATACTCTTTTTAAAGAGAATTATTTATATTAGAATTAGTTTATTGAAAATAAATGATTATTTTATTTATTTTGTTTTTATTTTTAAAAAATGCGTATTGAAGTTAAAACCATTTAGAATTCAACCTATATAATTTATATATTTGATACTCACTTTTAATTTTCTTCGAGAAATTTGTAAAGCAAATTTCAAGTTAAACTGCAATGAAAAGTTGCACGTTAAATTATGCTATACAATGACGTACCAATATTCAGTTCTGTATTTATAAAACAGTCAAATAATTATATAAAATTGCACATGTTATTAAGTTTTTTTGCAACAAACTAATTTTCAAGTAATTGCACCTTTTAAAATAGACTATCTACAAATAATGCATTTTTTATCTTGATACAAATAAATTTTAAAATTTCGTTTCTGATACCTTATTGTGAGTTCAAAAAATAATTTTAAATTCTTATAAAGAATATATGAAAAAAACATTTTTATTAGTAATTATTTAATACAAAATAATATAAAAAGTATATTAGAATTCATCAATATAAATATTACATAATGTGACATATAAGATGAAAAAGAAGTACAATACATATATGTATATTGTGACGTTGCCGTCTTTTAGAGCGTCCATCCGCCCCGAGATTTTACGGGGAGCGGGCCGAGCGGCCGCGCCAGAATCAACCTCGAGAGAGCGTTATCAAAAATCCCCGGAGAGACGAGCGCTATCATTAGTTTGTAAAGCTTTTTATTAATTGTATCGAATTTTTGTTTGTTTGTCATAAACGACAACGAGCACCTCGCCGGAGAAGATCCGGAGGACCGGAAGAACATCCAGGAAGATTGCGTCAAGACGCTCGTCGACAGCGAACGGAGGATAAAGTAGCGCTTGGAAAATACTTAGCCAAGGACGATACCGGGGAAATTCGCCCGCGTCCCAGGAAGGAGGACGGAAGTCCGATCAACGCTACCCTCCGAGGAGGACAAACGAGAGCGGAGTCTCCAACGGGCCCTTGTACCGGGGCCCGCGATAGCAATTAATAATTCGAATCAAATCAATTGCGCGCGAAGCGCTAAAAGCGCCGCGAATCTCGCGAGGCGTCAGGACCTCTTGCGTGCCGTATCCTGATTGGCCGCGGGGCTGCGCACCCCACTAAGCGGTCATTGACGCCGCTATCGACCCCGGGTCGCGAGATCCCCGGATCATTCTGGTGCGGGAGCTCGAGCTCAATAGTCGCTCTAATTAATTGTTGTTTTCGTGTGTGAGATCTTTGTCGCCGCTATAGAGACCGAGCAGAGGACGAAGCCGAGGACCATCCCCAGCAGGAAGAGGTGAGATTGTCCATCTTTCCTTTGTGAGCCACGTACGCGATTTAGTCCGCGGACCGACCGTTCTGCCGCCGTCGCCATTTTTCGTGTTTCGCGACCGCTCAGGCTCAGTGCCGAGACGGTGATATTTTGCGTATTTTCGGGCGACCGGAGGCAAGCGACCGAGGAAGGACCATCGTAACGTCGGCATTAGATTGATAAGGCAACGTTCGTCTCTCTCCGGGTTTCGAGGTATTCATTACGCGTAGCCATCGACCGCCGAATATCAACCGCATACGAGAAGGATCGCGAAAAGCGTACGCCGCCCGTGTCGTCGTGTCGTGTCGTTGCCGCGTGAATATTCCCGTAGATTATCTCAGGGCGATTCTTGTGTCGGATTTCGTGTATGTCGTCGTCGATTGTTAAGAGTGCGTATGAGCGTTTATGGTATTTTATTGTAGAGTGAGCGTGAAAGTATTTGCGTCCTTGTCGCGCTTATTACGCCGCCGAATAGAGCGTAGTAAAGGCTAAGAGAATATCTGCGTCTTCGTCGCGCTTATTACGCCGTCGGATAGAGCGTAATAAAGAATAATTTGTATCTGTCGAATTTATCGTGGTGCGAAATAATCGCCAAAGTACGATCGAGGGTGAAATCTGAGCTGCTTGCGCGGATGAAAGAGGCAAAACGCCGGCAGAGAAAATCTCCGGCCGCCGTCGGCCATCGAATATCGAAAATGTCGTTCGCCTGTCGCATACAAGATCCGTCTTCGCAAAAGTATTAATTATTTTCGATCTCTGGTTCTTTGGACTGTCGAGCTATTAAGTTGTCATTTTGTTTCGCGAACTAGGAAATTGCGGGGAAAAGTCTGTAGCGATAAGTGGTCGATCGGGCTGCTGAAATTACGAAATCTCGTTTGAGTATTATCCGCGAGTATTTTCGTGCCGAAAATCTTTTGTATTCCGTAAAGTCTCGCTCAGTTCAGCGAATTCCGGCCATAAAAACAGGCTCGGGTAAACAACCGGATTGTCTTAGCGCTCTCGTTTTCGTTGTCGATTGCGAGCAGATATGTGCTAAGAATACCGTCGCATCTTTCGTGTCAGGATGAATGGTATTGTATTTTTCGCTTTCGTATGTCGTTCGAATTTATTGTGAACCGTCGTTTCAACTTGATTTGTATGATTCGTTCTCGTTTCTAGTGGAATTAATAGCGAACTAATGTCTCGGTAAGGAATTATTCTCGGATGAATTATCGCTTCTTATTGATTGCTGATTTAATGTTCAAAGTTGATCCATTTCTTATTATTAATCTATTATTGATTACTCGTATTGTTACTTTATTTTTCTAGTAATAAACTTGTTATCTTTCTTTGTTCAATTCGCGTAATTTATTTAAGTGTTCGTCTCGCTTAATTGTCGATTGTCGTTTTGTCTGTCGTCTGTTGGTTCCGTGAAGACTCGCATAATCAATTAACTTTCTCTAACGACCTCTCCCCTCTATCGTTAGGCGAGCTAGTCGGCCCGTGGCGAAGCAGGCTACCGTTTTTAACGTCTTTCGGCTTTTCGCGAAAACTGATGCGTGAAAGACCGCATCTGGCGCCCAGCTTTTCGATATATCGATACGGTCTCCGCTCCGCCGCGGCTCGCGCGAGAACGCCCTTCATCTCTGTTCCTCAGAACGCGAGTATAATAATTTCGTTATTGTTTTTGACGGCGTTTTCGCTCCCCCGCGCACTATCCCATCCAACATTTCGAGGAGTGTCGCGATTCATTTTGAATCTAATTGAAATAAACGTCGCAATATATATACACAGTAAAAAGTTTTGTGTTAAATTTAACATATTTCACATGTCCCAATTTATCCACTCTAATTTTAATGTTAATTTAACAGAAGGCAAGAATGTAAACAAATAAAACAAGTAATATGTGATTAAAAATTAACACAAAAGTGTAATACTTAAACTTTACCTGGAAATACAGTTTATGTTAAATTAACATATTTATAATGTTAAATTTAATTTTAAAAAATTATTCTTACATTTTGATGATAAATAACAGAAGAAATATGTCGATTTAACATATAAAAACAGTTATAGAGAGAAAAATAACACAACTTATCTGTTCATTTTAACATATAACATATTTCACCAAACATTCGTGCATTTACATATTAATTGTGTTGTTTTAACTCTTAGAAACGGTGAATATTAACTCAACGCAAAAATGTCAAAATAACGCAATGATAATGTTACATTAACATAAAGGTATGTTAAAAATTTAATACAAAAGTTTTTACACAAGAAAATTTTAACAGAAATACAAAATGTTTTTTATCGTGTATATATATATATATATATATATATATATATATATATGTATGTATAACATAAGATATACAATTCTATCAAGTACGAGAAAAATTTAGATACATTAATGATTTAAGCAAAAATTCTTACAAAATTTTGAATACATATTTTTTTTGTGAAAGATGAAGATTAAGAGAGAAATTTGTTTAACAAATTACTGAATGTATATGTATATTATATCATTACGTTATTTATTTAATAACTTATAAAAATAATTCCAAATATCTAAAGAATTTTTTGTTAGTTACAAGCACTTTTACTGTAGACACAGATAATGCAATTTAATAGCGACAGTAATGGACATTAATATCAAATAATAATAAACTGGTAGAAGTTTGGAATGTTCCTGGAGCGATTTGTAAAAAGTACATATAAATAACAAAATACATCATATACATATATGTAAAATAGTACAATATAGCACAGTACAAAACATAACATTTCAATACGCCCTACATCCTTATTATTGAAAAACCATCCCTTAGATAACTAAAAAAATTCTAGCTTCGTCAAAAATAATTTCTCCCATTTCTGCTGTCACACACGAAGATTTCCAAGTGCCACGCTCAAAATGAGACCGATATCAATTCATATGAAGACACTGTTGTATGCCGTAATTGTTCATAAACTTTTTTCATAACTTATGTCAAAAATTTTAAGTAAATAATGTGTGTTTAGTACTTTGATGATATTAAGACCGATAGCAAATCGATACACTTTGCGGAAAACACCCTTACTACCAGTGGCACGCATAAAATGAGGCAGCTAGAATTTTTTTAATGATTAAAGGATGGTTTCTCAATAGTAAAGGTGTCTTTTGCAAGTTATATCAGGCCGACATCGATCTCATTTTGTGCGTGGCACTTAAAAGTCGCCGAGTGTGACAGCAGAATTGGGAGAAATTATTTTTGGCGAAGCTAGAATTTTTTTAGTTATCTGAAGAGTGGTTTTTTTCGATAATAAGGGTGTTTTTCGTATTGAAATATTATGTTTCATGCTGTGCTATATTATGGCACGCCGTTTTGCTATTTATTAATAAGATGTTCTTAACCTAAAATAAAAATTCAATAATTGATTTAAACTGAAGTAGATAGTTTTTCGGCATCATTTTTATTATGTTATAACATAATAAAAATAAATTAAAATTATGTCTTAACATAAAATTAATTCAAAATACATAGGTCCATATTTTAAATTCTTTTTTATCGATAAAAGTGCCTCTAAAAGTGACTTTATAAGCCTTCTGATTGGTTATAAGCCACTTTTAGAGGCACTTTCATCAATGAAAGAGGATTCAAAATATGGACCATAAAAAAATATACAGCCTATACGTGGAATTATTTTTATGTCAAGACATAATATTAATTCATTTTTATTATGTTGAGATAATATTAATGTATTTTTATTTATATCGTAACAAAATAATAATTGTAGGAATATAAATTATGTAAGTTATCATAATAATTCAGTGAATTAAAATTACGTTATGACATAACAGAAAATCACGATTTAAAATTATGTCATGTCCTAATAGAAATTCGGTAAATAAAAATTATG